TAATGTGTGTATCTACGTGGATTAGTGTACACACATGTATTTCTTTGCTCTGTCAGATGACAAGACCTAAAAGAAGAACACTCTAGTAGCAACGTGCAAATCATCACCCAGATCCTGGGTTCTAATCCCATTCCCCAGTAAAAGGCACTAGGGCTCCCTGGAGAAATGGCTGAGTCCAGGACCGGAGCACTGTCAAATGAGCCTGGGGCACCCTGTAATGCCAAAAGTAAGGAATTGTTAAAACTAAACAAGCAAGCCCACATTGATGGGAGCCAAATGATATGGCTCCCGACAGCCAAAACTGTAATATTTGAACAACAAAATAAATTCTGGATTGGATTATAACCCAAAATATCAATATCCATGAGTCCACATTGATATGAATAAATCACTAAACAAATAAATGGGAGAAAAGAGACAAAATATTCCAGGTATATTACATAGATACTTTAGCTTCTTTTATTTTTTCAAGATTTTTATTTATTTATTTGACAGAGCGAGAGCACAAGCAGGGGGAGCATCAGACAGAGGGAGAAGCAGGCTCCCCACTGAGCAGGGAGCCCGACGTGGGGCTCCATCTCAGGATCCTGAGCCGAAGGCAGACACTTAACCGACTCAGCCGCCCAGGTGCCCCAATACTTTAGCTTCTAAAGGAGGGGGAGCATCACACACTACTCCAGTGCGGGCTGCACATTAGGGACCTTCTTCCAAACAGTACAGGATGGAAAGAATGGGAAAAGAGAGTAACTTCACAGTGGAGAAACCCGACAAATACTACTTCACCCTGTCGGCCAACATCGACAGTCATAGGTCAAATTGATAGTATGCACCCTTGATATGGTAATAATGGCACTTTACATCAGACAAATTCCAAGAGAGGGGAATTCCACAACACACCTGACTAGTACTCCTAAAACGGTCAAGGTCACCACCAAAGACAAGGAAAGTCTGAGAAATCTTCACAGTCAAGAGAAGCCCAATGAGACAATGACAACTAAATATAAGAGGAGATCCTGAAGCCAAAAAAAAAAAAAAAAAAAAGGATATTAGGGGAAAACTAAGAAAATCCGAATAAACTATATAGTCAACAACAGTGTATCAATATTGATTCACTAACTGAAATGAAAGTACCAAACTAAGGTTAAGATGTTAATAATCAGGGAAACAAGGTATAAGGTGTACTGGAACTTTGTACTATCTTCATAATCTTTCTGTAAAACTGAAATTGCTCTGAAACATAAGGTCCATTAAAATTATTTTTTTAAAAAGCCAAGAAAGAAAACCCAGAACTTATATGTAATACTGGTGTACAACAGAGGGGATATTACAAATTTATGTCGAAAGGACGGACTACTGAATAAGTGGTTTGCAGACTACTGGATGTTCATGTGGGAAATAAAATTTGATTACTGTTTCATTCCACATATAAATCACAGTTGGACTAAAATTCCAAATGTGTAAAAACAAACTATTTTCATTATCCGAAGAAAATCTTAGAGAACATCCTCATGACCTTGCAGTAGGTAGGAAAGCATAAGAAAAAATTAAAAAAAAAAACAAAACAACATTAACCATACAGAAAAGATTGATTTGTCCACAGAAAAATTATCAACTTCAATAAAAGAAATGATACTATTTAAGAAAAAAAAGGACAAATGGTTGACCAGAAAAAATGGTGTTCAACCTAAAATGCCCCATAATTTATAAAATACAAATAAAGAAATTCTATAAAAACATAAGAAAATGATTATCAATAGAAAAATGGGAAAGGATATGAACTGACACATCAGAGGAACAAACAGCCATTAAACAGATGGAAATATGCTCAACATCAGTAGTAATGCACATTTAACACTTAAAATACCATGTTTTACCCATCAGATGGGTAAAAATTACAAAGGCTTATAATTTGAAGCTTGGTAAGAAGTTGGGAGAAAGAATCTTTAATGCACTGTCCATGGATCGTTAAGTGCTTTAACCGCTCTGGAGGACAACTTGACAACATCCATTCAATACTTACATCTTTTCTTCCAAAATATTACAAAAGGAGCAAAATCAAGTCTTTCATCAACAGAAGTATGGTTCACTAAATTGTGATACTATGGAAAAGTATGCCTTAGTTTAAAAGAATGAGGGAGATACACAGATATATGTATAGATAGAAAGTTTATATAGATATATACATAAACACACACACACACACACACCATGGAAATACAGTTCTGAGACATTACTTGGTATAGGAAAGAACATTACAGAACAATCCAGAGAATGACAGAATCTGACTAAAAAGTAAAGACCTAAAACAATATATTTATATACATCCATATATATTAACTGTTGAACGTACAGAACATTCTTGAAGGATACTTACCAAACGGAGAAAGGAAATGAGATTGGGGGCAGGGAAAGGGCATGTAAAGAATTTCTTTCCTTTTTTATCTATGCATCTTTGACGAGGAGAATGTATTTATGGATTGCTTGTGTAATTAAACTTTTATTCCTTAGTGAAGTAAGTAGAAAGGGGAGGGGGAGAAATGGTATAAGTTTTACATTGAAAGTATTTTCCCACATGACTACTATGGGCATCAGAACAGCTGTGAGCCACTCTCTCCTGCTGCATGAGCACCTGCCCTTCGGTTATGCTCTCCAGCTCTGTACCCTGGAGAGACATTGCTAAGCAATACCGCGTAGGGTAAAAAAGACCCCTGACCGCTACATCTGGTCTGCGAGGAACTACAAGGGAACCGTAAGCATCTCATGCATGCACCATGCTTTGGAGCTTCTCTGAATGCAGGGACTCTTGGAACAGGCACGTCTTCTCTGCTTGACTCAAACCTTGTCGGGACATACGGGTCAAAAAATATCACAAAGCCAGGTGTGAGTCACACGGGCACTTGAGATTTGCACCAAGTGAGCCAGGTACGTGTGGAAAAGTCCTTTTCAAATTCTGAGTAGCCTCTGCTATTTTCATGAGTGACCCTTCGACTGCCCCCATGAACTATAAATACTCCATTTTAATCATTCTTCGAGATAGCTGTCAGCAACAATATTTTGCATTCAATTAAACAGGCATTTTTGGCGAACAGCAAGGCATAAAACTTATTCATTACACAACTGTAGTAAATTTAAGGCTCAAATAAATTTTATCTATAATTTCCCAAACCACTATGGAAAGTTAAATCATTCATTTTATATAGTAGAACACAATGTGGGACTATATAAAAACTAAAATGAAGAAAAAAATTTTTTCCAAAGGACCTGGCTTCCAAGTGAATGTCTTTGAGAAAAAAAGATTTTTTTTATGTATTTGAAAATCAAAATCACTTCCTAAGAAAAACTAATCCTCAGTGTAAATTACAGTGGAAAAAAATCATTACTGATGGATAAAGACAAGGCAAAATTTGCCAAAAGGTAAGAATGGATATGCTTGAGAGAGCAAAGAGCAGTATTTCCAAATCTGTGGTTCAGCTTTGTTAAAATTATGGTACCAGTACCTGCCCCAGGGAAGACCACTATATCTCAGCTGCTTACAGAATGGCACTGGTTGAAACCAAATTCAGGACGGTCAGTGCAACACAGAGAACATTATTTTTAGTCACACACTGCGCCACTTCTTTTGAGGGGGTCTTAAAAATGCAATGCGTAGCTCCTCAACCCCTCTCACATTCTGTTTTAATAGTTCCATGAAAGGTCCACCAATTTTTAAAAAGTGCTGATTCTGGGGCACCTGGGTGGCTCAGTTGGTTAAGCGACTGCCTTCGGCTCAGGTCATGATCCTGGAGTCCCGGGATCGAGTCCCGCATCGGGCTCCCTGCTCGGCAGGGAGTGTGCTTCTCCCTCTGACCCTCCTCCCTCTCATTCTCTCTGTCTCAAATAAATAAATAAAATCTTTAAAAAAAAAAAAAAGTGCTGATTCTCAGACCTATAAATACAGAAAACAAACTGACGGTTGCCAGAGGGGAGGCGGCCAGGGGGATGGGCAAAATGGGTGAAGGGGCATGGGAGATGCAGGCTTCTAGTTATGGGATGAGTAAGTCACGGGAGTTAAAGGCACAGCATAGGACATATAGTCAACGATACTATAAAAGTGTTGTATGGTGACAGACGGCAGCTACACTTGCTGGGAGCACAGCATATACCTACACAGAAGCTGAGTCACTGTGTTGTACACCTGAAACTAACGTAACATTGTGTATCAACCATACTAAAAAACAAACAAACAAATTTTAATTAAAATTTCTTTTAAATGAAAAATAAAAAGTGCTGATTCTGGGGAACCCCAGAATAAGACTTCAAAGGGGCACTGACCTCCCTTGCCCACCTCCTGAAACAGGTCAGGAGCACAGGATTTTATACATACATAGATACATACATACATACATACATACATACATGAGTTTCTTCCCTTTCTTGGAACCCTTATTCGAAGTACCACTGAATCTTACCACCGATAATAAAGGTGAAATATGCTTGTTTGTTTCACCTGAATCCCTTAATGACATATATCAACCTCAGAATCGCTTTTTAACCTCTGGGGACAGGAAGAAAGAAAACACCAGAGTGGAGTAGAGACTTTGTTTCATTTCTTAAAAAAGTGAGAGGTCTGAAGCATAGCAGAAAGTTCATACTTGTTATCAAATCTCTGAGTGAAGAATAAAAGGAATATCACGCTATTTGCCGTGCTTTTTTGTATGTTTTAAGATACTCATTTTTTTGAAAGCAACTTAAACACATGGCATTACTCCAAAAGGCAAGACCGTACGATAGCATCAGCATGAGCCACCACTCCCTGGAGAAAGCAGTGGTCCGTCAAGGTCCTTTGACAACTTTTATCTTGGGAGGATGCATCAGAGTTGACATTTTGTGCCCCTCACGCGGGTTTCCAGAAAAACAAGCGTGATCTGTTTGCGCTTACTGAAAGCAACGCTGTTTGCCACGGTGAACAAGAAAATTTCAGTAAGAATGGAAGGACACCTGGCCCTCGTGGGTTCACGTACCTGTGTCGCTCCCAGATCCTGTTGACAAAGCTGGCATGATGCAAGCCGCCACAGGCTGGGACAGCCACACCACTCTCCACTTAGAAAGCCACAGAGAACTCCAGTCAGTGGCCTGCAGCCACGCTGTCGACCAAGATTTATATACCCAGCAGGCTGTTTCTAAAAAGAGAAGAAAAACACTTTAAAAATAATAATAGGAAAGACTACTAAATTGCAACATTCTGCGACTAATTCAGAGTTCTTATTCCAACACGCTTACCAGAGAGATCACGATTCTTCCAAATTTTGTCTACAATGCTACGTGCACATATGAAGTGTGAGAGTCTTTGATTTGGATGTGAAATTTCTAATTAAAACCACGAAAGCTCCTCATGCATGTATCAAGGCTTCCTGAAAGATTTTTGCAGTTAGTTTGAGGGCTGCTGAATGCGGACTGAGAACGTAAAGAAGGTTCTTAACGCCAGTGCTATTCTCAAATCCTTTGCCTCTGTTACCGTGATCCCACGCTCTATTTCTAATGCAGAACAGCGACTCTGTAGATGATCAACAACTTATAAATACTTGTAATTTTTTTAAATAGCTCATCCTAATATGCCAACTGCAAAGTTCTCTAACTGAAACTGCAAATCACCTGGAGAAACGACGAGAATTGAAGATGTTAGAGATTCCCAGAAGGGTTAACAATCAAAACGAGACCTCCCAATCCATGCTAATACACAAAAGTCAATTCTTTTGGTAAAAAACTAAGCTTGGACGCACTTTGAAAAATGCCAATTTTTTTCAAAAGTTGTTTTAACTCTGGTTTATCCGGCAGAAGCAGTAAGGCACTATTTTCTCGGAGCTGAAGAGCAAGGACTCCAGAGTTTGGCCTAATCTCTCAACCTGCTAAGTCTGTGATCTTGCACAATTTATTTAATCTCACTGCGCCTTCACTACCGTCTATACAAATGGAGATTAACAGCAATTTAGAACCGTTTGATAATTAAATACGCTAAAGCTCACAACACAGTGTCTGGCACGTGACCAGCAAACAAGAAATGCTGGCTATTATGACTGGAGCTGTTTAATTCAGGCAATGAGATTATAAAATGAAAACATAAAAGAAAGTAGCGAGATTAAAATTTACACTGGCCTGACACCTAGGAGAAGGCCATGTGGTTTAAATTTGGACCGCTGCTGCCTAATAACGGAAAATACACTACATTTATATTTTTTAGAAATCAGAAGCCCCACACAATGTGTTTAAGTCCATTTTTAATGCATTCTCCCCAGTTCTCTATAAAGTAAATTCAGTAATTTAAAAGCATATTTTAACATATATTAACAAGAAAAACAGATATTATAAACACTCGAAAAACTGGCTCACTTCAACCCGTGAAGCCTTTAAATTGCTGATTCATATTACAGAATAAGGAATAATGAGCTTGCCAAATTTCACTTGAAAAAGTCTAAGCTGCAAAATTCTATTAAAACCTTCTAAATTAGCTTTTTAACTATCAAAGCGAACGTTAGTATGAAAAAATTCACCAAAGAGACTATCTTGAACCAGACTATCTGAAGCAATGGCCTGCATTTTGTTTCATATTACAGAGGTTGACTAAGTTAAAATATGCAGAGAAGATTGTTAATTGAAAATATGACGGCAGTTATTTTAAATACCAAATAAAATATAAATCACGAAGCTAAAAAGTGAGAAAGACAAGTTTCATTAATGCCCATCTCTGAGGCTGTTTTCCCCAATAATTTTAAGAGGAAACTCCGCTTTGCTTTCATAAATTATTCTAACAATCAGGATTAAAATTCAATTACATAAAAGTGTTCCTTAATTCGAACACAAAAGAAGAAACAGACCATACATGATTTAAAGAAGGCACTCAATAAGACTTTTGTTTTGATGAGAAAATAAGGAGGAAATGGTTGAAATTTGCAAAGCATACACACACTCATTTCTACCACATGTATATGCGTGTGGGTAGATAGTTACTATGTGTGTGTGTGTTATGTAGATAATTTAAGCTCCTTATGCCATAAATCATAATTTAAATAGTACAAACTGCTTAACTATAGAAATATACAACAGTCTATACAATACATACGACCCCTTTCTTCACGCCTTGAAGAACTTAACAATGCTTCACTTTTATAAACCACAAACACCATATAATAAGTGATCTTATCTTATATCAAACATTCTATTACCACTAAGACAACCTTACATTTGCACAGCAAAACATCCTTCTGAGTTGATATTCCTGCTGTACACATAAAGCCACTTATGAAAGACCTCAGCATTTCTCACTTTTTATTTCATGACAAACACCCAAGGTTAAATTTTTCCAAAGTTATATTACTTAAGAAATATATGCTACAAAGTAATTATCTTCTCAGAACATATGTAAGTATATAAGTATAATGTAAGTATAAGCATAAGTATACTTGCAAAAGTATACAAAGTAAATGGATAAAAATCCCAACCAGTAAAAAATGCTTACTAGTTTGTGGAACGAAGCAGAGTTGCTGGGTTTAACTTTCAAACTGAGCTAAATTTTCGTAGTAATCATGTTATTTTCTTTGGCTAAATTTATTGAAAATACTTCGGAATTTGTCAGAAACCAGCCATAATTATTACTGACTGTTGTATGGAATCAATTTACTACAACACAAAAATACCAGCTGTTACAGTATGTCCTGAGAGGGATTACCGAATATTCTTAAATTGAAGTTCAATCCATCTTTCCATAAAAAGAGAGAGACCCAAACGCCAGGAACCCAACAGCGGTATCAAGTGCACCTGAAACATTTACAATACCCAATAGAACTATTACAACCCGCCTTTTAAAAAGGCTTATTTTTGAAATTTCATTATTCCAGTCGTACCTTGCTTCTATATATCACACAGTATCAGGTTCTTCTGGCATTGATCATGTGGAAACAGTGAAATATGTGAAGGTCTACGAGCTTACAACGTTCAGTTTCTACTGGCCCTGGGTAACCCCCTTAGGGCTCCCGTGGCACTCATGACATCTAATGGTCAACCGCGGAAGTGCAAGTGTTTGTCGCCGGAAGCTTTTTTTGGTTTTTTGAGTTTTCGGTAAAGCAAAAATTGTCTTACTGCACCCAGAGAAATGATCATCTGCAGAAATTTTCATTAATATGCACACACAACTATTAAGAAACATACACTCCCCCTGGGTGCCTCCCATCCCTCTCACTACTTCACTGCAACACCGCTTCTGACACCAACTGTGGTTTTCCACACACCAAGCAATCCTGCAACACGAGCTGAGTGTCCTGCAATTTGAGTCAATTCTGGCACTCTCCACCTGGAGACAGCATCCCCTCCCACAAGTTAAGGGCACAGTCCCACAAGACTGCCCACGCCCCCATGTCCCTCGCAAGTGCTTCTGATAATTCACTATAAATCAGACGTTCTCACAAACCCCTGCTTGGTTTTTATTAATTTGCTAGAGCCACTCAAAGAACTCAGGAAAACATTTACTGACTAGACCACCGGTTTATTATAAAAAGATACAACTCCGGAACAGCCAGATGGAAGAGATGCACAGGGCTCCCATTCCCTCTCCCTCTCTGGGTGCCCGACTCCCCGCCCCCGCCCCCGCCCCCTCCACGTTCACCAACCCAGCAGCACTCTGAACTCTGTCCTTTCAGGTTTTTATGGAGACTTCATTATATAGGCACGAGTGATTCAATCCCTGACCAGTGGTGACTGATGCTGCCCTTAGCCCCCCGCACATCTCCAGAGGTAGGACGGCAAATTCCAACTCTCTAATCAAGGCTGGTCCACGGGCAACCAGCCTCCACTCTCAGGAGCTTTACAAAAGGCACTGTGTTACCATAACCTCAGGTGTGGCTGAAAGGGGCACATTATCAGTAACAAGGTAACCTTTATCACTCTTATCACCTAGGGCTTTATTAGGAGCTCTGTGCCAAAAATGGGAGGCAAAACCAAATATGTCTTTCTTATCATAAAGCACAACACAACACCTAACCACAAAGTTTAAGCAGATGAACAAGAAATAAAATGCTGGACCTAGTTTCCAAACACTTTTCCTCTCACAGAGTATGCAAGAACATGAAAACATTTTTAGATTTTATTTATGTATTTATTTTACAGAGAGAGAGAGAGAGAGAACGGGAGCAGGGGGAGAAGCAGGGGGAGGAGAGAATCTCAAGCAGACTCCACGCTGAGCACAGAGCCCAATGTGGGGCTCAATCTCATGACCCTGAGATCATGACCTGAGCTGAAATCAAGAGTTGGATGCTTAACCAACTGAGCCACCTGGGTGCCCCAACTTTTAATTAACTCATCGTAAGTATTTAAAAATCCTATTAATATCCTACCGTTTCAGGAGACAGTAACTGTACCCAGTAATCCAACTGCAGGTTACTTCACCAAGTTACCAATATTCTAAGTTATGCTTTCAAAATCGGATAGAGCAATAAAATAATACAAAGAGGAAACTTTTTCTAAAAAAATTTATGATCCCAGGGTCCTGGCATGGAATCCCGCATCAGGCTCCTTGCTCAGCGGGGAGCCTGCTTCTCCCTCTGCCTGCCGCTCCTCCTGCTTGTGCTCTCTCTGACAAATAAAGTCTTAAAAAAAATTGTATCAGATTTTTTTAAAAGCTCGATTTGAAAGATTTATTATATATTAGCCAATGCAAGCAGCAAACCGGTATCGGTTAACATTATTGAAAACTTCATAAATTAGAACTGTAAGACAATAAAGGAGGCAACACATAGCTAGGTGGCATAAATCTGCTTATCTAAAATGGTAGTTATACCATTTACACCAGCAGTTCTTGAGTGTGGTCTGCAGACCCCCAGTGGTCTCCCAAGACCCTCTCAGAGGGGTTCATGAGGTCAAATTATCTTCATACAAATACCGAGATGCCATTTGCCTTTTGTACTGTGTCGACATCAGCACCGATGGTGAAAAGTGATGGGAAAGACCGCTAGTACCAAATTGAAATTATTCGTCCTTATACTCTTCAGTGCCAAGCACTCTCATTAGAAAAGAAGAAAAAGAGGAGGAGAAAGAGGGGGAAAAAAAGATTCACTCTAGAATGTTCTTAATTAAGTAAAAAGTTCTGAATCAAATTACTAAATGACTGCCTCTTCAGCATCCATCTTCTTAC